GAAAAGATGCTTGCACTAAGTGGAGTCGAACCTAGAAATAGCTTAATAAATGTTCTAGAATGATCCTCTGAAAACATAAATACGAAGGCGCACAGACGTCAACGTTAGGGATGATAATTTCAGCTTCTAGATATGATACCTGTCGAATCGGACGTCGTAGCAGAGGTTGGCGGCATAGTACCACTTGGACCTCAGTACACGGATTGTGGGTGATCTGGAATGAGTTTGACCACAAGATCCGATGAGACTGATAGCATGAGAGAGGGTTTTGCTTGATTTACAAGTGAATAAATGAATTTGTGGTCCGCTATCAACCCGACTGGTAGTTTAATTTCCTCACAATGATATGAGTAGACATGACGTTTTCATATTCTATTCATATTCTTGCTTTACCAAAAAGTAGTCTCATCCAGGCAGAGGTGGACCGCCGTTTCGACCTCGCCTAGGTGGTATCAACATCCCTTGCGAGAGTCGAACCATGACAGTATAGCATATAATCTTGAAATGTTAACCACTGAACCACATTGCCACGAGTACCCTAGGGTCACAGATCAGATGTGAATTTCAAAAAAGGCCAGGTATTTTTCCATATCATATTCTTTTGCAGGGTTTTCGATGAAGCAACATTCCCTCTGGAGGTGTTGATAAGACCTGGGCTAGGTCGAAACAGCAATCCACCCCTGCTTGGATTAGAATACTTTTTGGGAAAGCAGAAATATGTGAAATTCAATGGAAAAGTAGTGTCTACTCATATCATTGTGGGAAAATTCAACTAACAGTCCTTTATCACCTTAAATGAAATAGGATGAACACATCTCATATTCTTGATTTACTGGTAGTCTTGAAATTTTACTAAAAAAAATGAAAAATAAGTATTTATTGCAAGGATATTCTCAGGAATGACTACATAAACTAAAATTCCACCCTGTTGTGGCAGGAAAGATGTGCACGATGGACTACTATAATAGACCCAACAATTACATCCTTTGATTTCTAGTGGAATAAATCTACTGGTCACCTCTACAGAATTTCTCATTCAAAATGTTGGGCCAAAGATAAGAGACGAGGTAGATAGGACGTGTGCTTGTGTCTATATGTACATTTTATTTACGTACTGATGTCTAATGATTCAATAAATGATTCAACAACAAAAGATCATTAAAATAAATATCATATTATTTTATTTTATATGACTATTAATGCTATGAAGGAAGAGTAAGAGCCAACTTGTGCTATTAAATGAGAGAGGCATTAGACTCGCTTACTTGTGTGCTAAAGTTAGCCTTGCTATCTTGGTGATAGAGTGGATGAAACCATTCAAACAGTGAATGATAGATACCGAAACGAAGGTCCGTCTCTTTACGAATGGCGTTTGCTAGTTCTCCAACTAGGTCGCGCCTCGGACCCACTTCTACGGAGTTCCACAACCAAGAATTGGCTGAGGGCCAATTGCAGAAGCCCTCATGGTGCTTGCTAGTAATGACGACGTATCTTGCACCAGAATCCTTAAAGAGCTTTGCCCAGCTGGTAGGATTGAAAAACTCAGCCTTGAAGTCCTTGGCAAAATCTGAGTATGCGAATTTCGGGGGATAACTGTCATTCATAAATTTCACCACACTTTCGATTTTCGAACCTTCCCATTGCCACCAGAACCACTCGGATCTGTACCCAAAAATATAAATGGTTTATTTCTT